CGGTCACATGGCACAGCCACTAAAAGCTATTTGCTGTTAAACAAACAGATTTTTATCAGCTCAAATGAAGCAGTAGTTGTGTCCTTGCCTGAAAGGAATTAACAACCACTGGAATATTTGTGTTTAGCTGCACAGTCAAAAAGGGAACAAAAGTGACTTTGAGCCAAATAAACAACCCATCAAAAATGATCACCTTTCTTGTTTTAGGCAAATGAAATCTGCCACTTTTGTTATATGATGCCCATTTAAAATCGCTTTAAACGACCCTTCGTAAAATACTATTGCTTCTCTTCAGCGGGACGAATAATGCTAATAACAACTTCGGATCAACCTCGGTGACTAGGATGGTGTCTTAAGCCCTGAGAAGGAAATGGAGGAGAAAGGAGGAGGAGGAGGGACACAAGCCCTGATTCCTCTATACTATCTTCCCCTTACTAACCTTCTTAATCCAGGAGCTTAACCAGAATGAAAAACAATGATAAATCAAGATTGGAAGGCTATGCTCCTAAGACCGAAGCACAAGCCGTGGTGATGAAATGACTTGCTTGGTCACACTGGCGGTTTTAACAACCGGTGTTTTGTTTTATCTTTATACTTACAAATAAGCATGGCATCGTTATACTAAATGCCCCAGGTGTCTCCTTGACACCTCCCTGTCGAAGGAAGAATACACAATACTCAAGCAGGACCTGCATCGTTGACGTAGAGAACAGCTTGGGGGCTGTTGGCATGGCTAAGAGGCCAGGTCGCCCGACGACAGTACAATGGCGGAGCACTCAGTACTTATAAAAAAATGTCAACTCCACATGCGAAGACAACGGAGGGGATGTGAACCTAACTCCTGACACGTTTAACTTGCTGTATCAGAATTAGCACCGCATTCTCGTTTTGAAGTTTTTGCATTTAAACTACCCAAGAAGGATTCAAATATGTGCCTGTTATTGATATTCGCTAAGAAACATACCCACCTTGTTTACCTTGGAGCGAGGACAAAATAGTTTCCCCATCACTTACTTCCTGAAAGTCCAGCAATTAGGAGAACTCTCTCTTAGACAAACGACACCTTTCCTTTTCCCACAAGACTTCTTCCTAAGCAATAACCATCTTGTGTGGCATTAAACAGTCATTTGCGAGACAAAGTAGGTAGGAAATAGAACTTGGGTAAGGCAACAAAGGCGATAATTACACCAAGTCTATGTCCCTTTGTGGAGGTGAAAATGCTGCAGCAATTGAGCATTCATAATTGCAAACAAATTTTGCTAGGAAGGAATGGTTTTCTGAAGATTAGTTGCAAATATTGGAAGCATGTTTTTTTTGTGGTTACTTTAAACTTATCATGCAACCTCACTATTTTCCTTCCGTTAACTATGGTATGCCAAACGAAGCGGTACTTCAAGGATGAGAAGTAACACCTACATCATTAATTAATGGTTGGCTTTGATGAAAGGTACCGTTCCCAGTTAGAATAATGAACTAAAACAGGATTATTGAGTGGAAATTCTCTACTTATCTTGTGAGCCTAGTAAAGCTTAGTCGAATTTGAATGGTCCGACATTTGTGGAAAGGGAAAATACTAACAATAGAAAGCCGGAAATGCAAAGCACTCTACTTATCCACAGTCAACAAATGGCTTCTCGGGTATATCTGAGCACAAAGATGAGCAAACGAGGGACTAGAAAGGCTAGTAGGTCATATCTCCTATCAAAGTGGTGGTTAAACTCACAGGGAATGAGGACCCCGCACCCCCGTTGAGGATCAAGTAATTGCAACGCTACTCATATGCTTTGTTATATTTTTTGGGCATTTGATTTGTCATGCAAATCCTTAAGACCACTTCCGGAAATTGGAGGTGTGTTCATCAAATTTGAATGTGGGAGAGCATCCACTGAATTTTTCCTTTAGCAATGCAGCTTGTCAATTCTATTGTGCCTCAGATTCTGTGCTACCTGCAAACTGGTTACTGAAAGATAATTTTGTACGTGTGATTGGCAGAATCGTCGCTTCAAACTCCGAAGCTTTCCTGCTAAATAGTACTGCAATACGTCTAATGTTTGTTGAGCACATCTTTTCTGTCACCCAGACAATAGGGATTTCAGTCATTGTACTTCCGCATAGGGATGTAAGGACGATAAAATCCAATGGGAAAAACGAGTATTGTAGCAGACACTGGAGAAAGACTGGATGAATACCGTTTTAGAATGCGAAATTTGCGAGTATTTTGTGAAAAGGCATGAATAGTAGTTTAAGCAGTATGTGAGGTGTATCAGGTCGTTTGTGTATTGTTAACTTAAAGAAGGGAATGGTAGCTGCCGGCATGGATCCGATGCCTTACATTTAGATAGAGGTACAGTGGCAGAGTCCACTTAGTGATCCCCATGAAGTTAATTATGACAAGAATTTGCGCATTCGAAAGGGCAATTGTGAAAGGCTTTATTTCTAAACAGACAAGTAAATATTATATTTCACGTTTTCCTCATTCAAAAGGAACCTTTTGGGTGGAATTGTGGAGTGGCTTGATGAGACCTCTGAAAGACAGATAGGTGGGATGTCTTTAAATTTGCCAGAAGAAAGGCGCTTTCGCAGATGAAGTGTTTATTGTGGGTAGCCTTTACTTGCCTCTGTCCAAGCTTTTCGCTCTTCCCAGCTATCGGTGACATAAGGGTAGAGTAATAGGTCGAAAAAGGCAAACCACTAATCACTGTGTAAGCAATTTGTTTGCTAACACTTCTTCGGTTTCCTTAGTGTCCCCTCTTTTGCAGATATTGTTCTAGTATTTACCCTGCAAGTCTCATTTTCTTCCTACGCCTGCTTTTCAAACTCAGTTGATCAGGATCAGGGGTAAGCGCAGGGAATTTCGCACTGCCATAACGTCATGTTAAGACATAAAACAAACCAAGATTGCTAGAGGAATGGCAGTTTGTCTCGGTTTTACCTGCTACAAAACCGGTCTGATTCACGCCTTTTCTAAACTAGAGTCGTATTCAAACGAATATGCATTTGAATAAACTATTTTCGATTTGTCGGATCATTTACAATTACTGGAATACCTTAATTGTTTAACTCTTAGTTTCCGTAATGAACTATTTGATGGCTCTGAAATTGTAAATCGGCTGGACGACTTGACCTTTGGAAGACATTAGCAACCCCGAATCCCACCGTGCATGCTGTTGGATGATAAACTTTAGCTGGGCTGAGGTAGTGCATATTCTACCAGTGGGAGATTCGATAACAAGCCCTAGTGGAGGGTCTGGCAGTGATGTCTACATGGGACAACTACCACAGTCCCATGTTCTGCTAAGATATGTTAACGACTTAAGCAACACTAGCCGAGAATCAGCTGCAAAAGTTATTTGGGGTGTTGTCTACCCTACCTGAACGAAGATATCAGTTAAGTGAATACGCGGTACCTCATCCAGCTCTCCACCAGCTTCATCTAGCACAGATAGGTGTGATTGGGCAGAGCTGAAGTGAGGAGAAATGAGAAACCTCATTGTAAAGGAAGTATGTTATACCCTGCAACTCATTACATAACTCCGCTTTAAGCCAGTGTTCCTACCCCTAGCTATGCAGACGCGTGAGGGGCTGTTCATTCTCCTGTGCCCCCAATGCGGTTCCCATACAGATGGATACTTCAGATGCAGTAGAACTGCTCAGAGGGATCGGCGACGTTGCGGTGGAATGGCTCCTCAGATGGTCGGAGGTTAGGCAACTGGCGTGGTTGGCTGATGACTGTTTTCCTGCAGCATGGACTACGTTGTGATGTCTGACATAGGTGTTTGATCAAGGGGAGCGCCATGGACGACGCCTTAAAAAGGGGCATGGTGCTATGTAATACACTAACAAGGCCATGCCGGTACCCTCATGCCCGCCTTCAGACTAGGAGTGCGTATTCTGCCCAAATATTATGCATTTTCCCCTTACCTCGAAAGTTGTCCTAGGCACACTATCGCAAATCTCTAATTCCCATATCAATTTAGATCATTTTAATGAAGCTAAAGTCGTTTTAATACAATCCCTTTAGTTTTATTTGATTTATCTTGCTTAGCGACTGAATAGTGTGTTTAACCGGGTGTTTATTTCACCGACAACTTCACCTTTCCAGGTTGTGCTTCTGCTTTGCAATACACGACACTCGCAGCAAGTTGGTATCTGCCCAGCACTATGCGCTACTAAAATATACCTTTCTGTATACTTTGGCCTATTACTACCTCAGAGAAGACCAGAAACATGACATTGATGGCAATGGTACCACAATCTGCTGCAAATAACTACCCACCTTGATTTATGTGATTTATGTCGCGTTTGATGTGCATCTGAGATGACTCCTAACAGAACGTATACAAGTCTCCTCTGTCCTTCCTACTTTCGCCTACCTTGTGATCCGCAAGTAGGATATTAACAGCTAAAGTCCTACCCAGTTTTGACAATATAGTGAGGCCTATACGAAGGCACAAGTTACGATAAGAGGAGTTCACTCCACCATGTCTCCGATGGTAGAATAAAAGGAAGCCAGATGTGGTGTCAAACAGATGGCTAAATAGCACAGAGAACTGGAATCCCACTGACAGGGAAACGTGGAATGAATGCGTAGCGTTTTGCTCTCTGCAACTACTTCAAGTCTTGTAGATTAGTAGCCAGTCCTGCCTTTAGGCCAGCGTTCTTACAGCTAGCGACTAAAATGATTTGTGTCTAAGCCTGGGTTTGCATCTGGGCTTGAGCAGTACGAAGCGTGTGCATTCACCCCATCCAAGCATGTCGCAAACGGGACATGACGGTGACAGGGACAGTGGAATTGGAGAGATGCAGCGTTGACGAATCAAATGATGCATCCAATGCCCTCTCACATGGGACAGGGTGGAGTTATGGATGGTGTTTTGTGGGTTGTTACTCAACAACCGACTACTTTGTGATTATCGAGGCAAAAAATGAACTGAGTCGTTAGGATGACGTTAAAGAGAAGGTTGAGGCTGTGTGCAGATTCGACATTTTGTTCATATGTGTGCTGAATTCAGTAGGTACTTCTTTCTCCACAGTTTGTGTTTCCCTCCCATAGCACATGAATTGGGGAGTACTGCTGAACTTCCATTTTCCTATAGGTTGGCAATGTACTGTTCTTTCACATTGCTTTGTCCCACTACGACTTTAGAAAGGGTTGCCTCAACCAGCATGAAACATAGCCACAAATGACAAAGACCTGCAGCTCCATTAAATGTACGATTGTGAAGCTCAAGATCAAATTCAAGTCTGTCGGATAACTTATGTTACTTGGGTGAAAAATTGTTGTGATCTATTATGCGTGATTGATATGCGAACATTGTAGTAATACGGGAGCTTCCCAAATCACTATGGCTATGACAAAAATATCAACAAAGTATGCTTAAGGTGTGCTGCCAATGCCTGTTAAGAGGAGGTCACTCAAATGCTGGGCTTGCTGCAGGCTAAAGTAAAGCCATCTTGGGAATCCGATAGTTCCCATAAAGCAGTCAGTTATCCATTCAGCCAGCCAGTCAGCCGTATCGCCCTGTCTGTTCATGTGTGTTGGCAGGCAAAGACGCATGTCGAAGGCCTTGCGACTATTATCTGTTTAGTTTTACACTTATTCGGCACTAAACAGAATTCAATCTCTCTCTCATAAACACAGGAGCATGACACAATTGGTTATTGTGGCCAGTTAAATGGTTTGTACATCGCCGATGGAAAGTTGATTTTCACCAGTGAACTTGATCTCACCTTATCCAGTAGTAAGTGACACGTGCTTCCTTTTTAAAATAGCAAAAAACAAGTGGTAAGAAGAGGGCCTTCCTTACACTGCGTGATGCACCTACTTGTAAGCTATTTAGCACGCATCACGAAATGGGAGTTGTCAAATGGCATCACTTGATGGCGGCACTTTATTCAGGCACCACCACAGTTTGCTGTCCCACCCTCTCCACATGCCATGCCACACATAATTGGCACAGAATTCCCTAAGAGCTCGTGTATAGTAGTGAAATGAAATTGTTTGAATGTAATTGTTTTTGAACGACTTTTCAAAGTATCAATGAAGAAGGTGTGTTTGGAGCAACAGCATCCACAGCTTCGGAAACGAGTTGGTAACCTGGTTTTGTAAAGCAGATGCACTCGGCCAATGTGTATTCGGTTCTTTCAACTGCCATGTTATTGCATTGGTGTCAAATAGGATTAAAAAATATCGGAAGGGGCAATAGAGGACACCAAATAAATAAGCTGAAGGCTGTTTACTTATACATTTATTCCCTATATACAAATTATTGCCTACCTCTCCCACTACCTTACCAGTTACAATAAGTCACTGCAGTGATACAAATTCGATTGATGCACGAAAGTATGTGATTGCAACGCCACTGATCCCTCTTGACACATCCACTGCATCTCGAGTTTCTTCCCAATGGACGAATGTATTGCGTGAAGGAGTATGCTGACCACTGCGTACGCCTATCCACAGTCATGAGATCACTGGTCTAAAAGCACAATCATTTAGTAAAGGCGGAATTAATGATAAATTCGTATGGATATGGTTTTGCTCCTATTCTTCCATCCTACTTGGTTCTGGTTTCTGTGCTGCGCAGCCATATCTATCTGTTTGGGTTTACATCCATCCAGTAGAGAAGTGGAGGAGATATCACGTATTTACCCAATGGACACCTCCGTAATGAGCCTTTTCACATGTATCACAGCCGAAATCACGTCAGTTGTTGATGGTACAGCAGTAGGACACTGGAATGGGATGGTTGCCAAAGGGGCACGTCATTTTGAGCACTTTAACTAAGAATCTTCTCTGATTCTCCCAATTGCAGCTTATGACGTTCTTCCATCAAGTGATTTAAGCATTCACCAATACAAAACAGGGTAGTTGTCTTTTACGATTGGCTTCGCTTGCCGCTGTCATCAGCGTAGCCCTACGAGACATTACTAAATTCATAAATCACAGTAATATGAGAGGCTACTGGCATAGTTCAGATCCCATGCCACCAAGTGGAAGTCCACTGGTGGAAACTTAAGTGCACAGGGCACCAAATACGCAAAGTTGGGCAAAGTACAAAATTCTACGAATAGCGGGCTTATGGCAATAGCCTCCCAGCCTTTTCAGGCGGTGACGATAATGCTCCATTCAAAAGCATTCCATCTTATAGGGTTGGCATAAATGCCTCGGAAATTGTATCACCTATATCATATAAACAGTGGTGCGCAGTTTCTTTGACCATCATTTTGTAGATTTTACAGCCTATTCATATGTAAGCCAATTTATGTGAAAAGTAGAAAAGGAGTTAGAGAGATGATAGGAAAACTGGACAGGGCTATTGCATCTTTTTGCATAAGATTGTATACTTGACTCAGGTGCAGTAAGTCAAGTGACAACAAAACTGATGGAAGATAATAATGAGACATATGCTTGAGCGGTTCTACTGTAGATGAAATACCGAGAAACTCATAAACTATTTAGTTTCGTGTGCTTTTTCCCCTCTTAATATTAGGTTTACAGGAGTGCAATGGCTAAATCTGTTGTAGGAGAGATTGAAATGGCTCTAGCCTTTATATACAATTCCTCACGCTCAGAATCTGAAGATATTTTAAAAATTCCTTAAAGAAGACTTTTGTAACTCCTCCATTTGTCTTAAGATCTAGAAGAGCTTTCGCATCCCATTCACACATGTGGTAATTAAATGGATGATCCGTCGGGCAAAAATTAATAGAGGAATTCAAACATAGTTTACTTCACAGTACTAACTTCGACGTGATTCGCTTCCTATGTAAATCTATTTGCTTAAGGGGCATTGTCCACAGTACATTTTTTAAAGTTACCCATTCTTAGAAATGCCTGTGACAGTCAACATGAAGGAGTACTCACGCGGAGCTTGAAACACCGCTTTCCTATCATGACATTTAGCTCATGTTTAAAGATGCGTTCGCTTTCATTAGCTCATATATTCGAACGGATTTTGTCTCTGCATAAACTACGCAAGTAGGGCATTTCACTCTCACATCAATGCATGAAGCAGCCAATCGTGAAGGAGTTAAAATATAAAAAATGGTAAGGAGGAACCGAAACAGTAGAAAGTAGTGGAAATGACAGATGATTGAAATCGCGAGTTGTAGCGTACTGATCAAATCACGTGAATCTACATGAAACTGCAGTTTTGTCTTTTCTGATTACTTACTTTCATTTCACATGCAATTGTTGCGACCACCCTTCATTCCCGCCATGGCACCATGTCCACATTCTCTAGTTGTCTATCTGTGTTTTCTTTGTCCTCAAATACCCTTTCACTGGAGAGGCCTCATTTCCATCAGTAGCATTTTGCGTGGTCCAGTGTGGTGTGGCGATGTGCATGTGGACGATTCTTTCATTCTAGGCACAGCAAAGGGATATGGAGTAGTGCAAAGAAATTGGCCAAATGTTGGTGGAAGTACAACGATGCAGATAAGGGGAGTAGAAAATACCTAGATTTGATATAATTTGTAGGTGATATTTAGAGGCAGCGCAGGGCTTGAACTCGGAGAGAGCAATGACATCTTACAGGCAGTACAATTCGAAACAGAATAAAAGGAATTTGCATCAGTTAGTGCCAAATTGTTGCACTGATTGTGGGCATAATATTTCACCTGCATTTCACCACCAAGCTTACATGGCCTCACTGTGGATTAAGCAGTGAAAATTTTTGTAGTGCTGCGTTTCAAATATAAATGAATCAGAGATGGTCCTAACTCCGTTGTGCAGAATGCAACCTTGAGTGTAAAGGATAAGGACGAAATGGAAGAGGAGAGGGAAGGAAAAACTATCATCAGTCTGTGAAGTGCAGGTTGCTACAAGTTAGTAATGAGTGGTCATCCGTCCTCCTGGGGAATCAAATTTATCAGCTTTGAGAGTAGTCGAAGAGTAAAATTGGTGAGAAATATAAAAAATACAAGGGAATGTTTTTCCACATGACCTATTTTTGAATTCAAAAAATTCACAACAATTAATGTATGCATTCTCTGATGTCAACAACGGACCCAATTATGACAATTAAATATTGTCAGATTAGTCACTGAACTTGGCAGGTTTTTGCTCAGCTTTGTTAGCTCTAAAGGGCTTTTCACCTACTGTCCCGAACTTTGCCAGCTTCGGCAGCTTGTCGCACAAGAAGCAACGGTGAAGACTAATGATGCTGGTG